ACCTTTTTAGTTCATAGCAACCGTGATCACTACTTTTGGGTGCACATTTTTGTGACGCTTGTTGTTTAGGGAACAGATGCACAAAATAAGAAATATGTAAGCATGTAGAACTTACCAGTAGTACCCATGCTGGAATACTATAATCCTCACAACTGTAATGTTTACTACTCGAAATCATCTTAGAATTGTAGATCTAAAAAAAAAATACATTAGATAAGATGAAATTGAATCTAATTAAACTTTATCAACGTTTTATAATACCATCAAGCCATATATTAAAAAAAATCTTTCTACAGAAAAGATTTATTTGTTTATAATATCTCTTCACCAATGTAAGTAGCTAGGAAACCTACTATGAAAATGAACTTTGGCACTCACTTGCAAGTTTGGGCGAACTAAATTTTAGTCAGAGCTAAGAAAATACACTCAAGTGATATAGAGAGAGAGAGCAAGAGATGCTCAAAAGGCCTTCAAGTACAGTATATTTTTTGCTAATGGTAATTTATATTAAAGGAAAAAGAAAAAGTATACAAATGGATATTATGATAGCCCATACTCTATACAAAATCTGTAATACACCGAGTTCGGATTTTCAACAGCTTGACCGGCCATCATGCCCTATCTTCTTTTAGCATATGACTACCTTTCTTTGAACATATATCAACAACAAAATTTGCTTCCAATCAATTCACTGCGAAGAGGACGTTAGATAATTTAAATTTCATTTCTTATTATTGTGACTTCAATTTTCAATGAACACTTGAACAGTATCGACGTGAAAGGACCTCATTGCAACTTTTGACTGAGCTTCCACCCAAATGTATAGCCATCATTCTGCCACTGCAATTCTAACTCCTTTAAATATTGCTACTGACTACAAAATAATTGATTTCCACTCCTGGACCATCGTATGAAGTGTGAAGTACTTATCCACAACTGGATTTGTAGATGACTCCCCCATCCAACTGGACCTAAATTCCCTTTAGTTGCGCCATTAATATTTACTTTGACATACCCTATAGGAGATAGACTCTATCTATAAGCCTTCTACTACCTTTGATGGGTGAGATGCTCTTGTGGGAAGATCTAGGTTGTCCAAACACCAGATACCTGATGAAACATTGTGCATTCCCTTCTCAGTTTTACCATAAGTTTTCTTAACTACTTCCCTTGCACCTATACAAAATCTGCCTTGTACTTGTACCTGTTTCTTCATAGGGCTTCTTGTTTAATTTCTAGCTTTCCAAATCCGAACACAGACAGTCAAAGTACATGTTTGCCATAGTTTTTGATAAGTGGGCTAAATAAATTCAACGTGTAAATCATCTCGTATAGTGTACATGGATGTCGATGTTGCCCAAAAAGTTTTCCATCATGCTCCACATTTCTTTGGCAGAACCACATACAAACAAAAAATGATTATTAGTTTCTACATCAACATTACAAACATGACAGCTTGATATTGAAATGTTAACAAAGTAAAAGTCACCGCACACATTGCAACTGAGCAAGGGACATTAACTCTGAACAGGTATCAACAATTGTATATAAGCTATCATCACTTATCAAAATGAGTCGTTAACCTAGGAAATTAAAGGGGTGACATGGTTAGCAACTTGGCCTTCAAGAGAGTTTACAAATGCTTCAAGAAAATGTATATATCAGTATAACCAATGACCAAACATTTTAAGGTACTACACACTTGAAAGAAATTATCCTAAGTGTGATTACCAAGTTCACTCATGGGTTGGGCTAACTGGATTTCTAAGAGTGATTACTATCATTGAAGGCATTTTCAAATTGGCTATGAATAGTTGTATTCAAATCTTAACTAAACATTGGTAATTACAGTAGATTTCAAACAATGTTATCTTCATGTTCTACTTACCAAGCCCAAACCTATAGTCTTGGATTTGTACATGTAAACAAAAAAATATCTAATCATTTGTAAAAAAAAACTAAGACCATGTTGTTCCTGTTTTGTTTATTCTATGGTTCATGAAGTGTATACTCAAATAAAGTAAGATTTGTCAAATTTCTCTTTGGATCAAGAAAGCATCAATCACCTCTGCTTCCAAATTTTTTTAGTATTCAAGGTCAACTAAATCAAAGGCTTATCAAAATATCGAACTGTAAAGAACACCTTCTATGGAATTGCAAACCTGTAGCATAATCAAATTAAGTTCTATTTTAAAGGCAAAAAAATAAATATTAATA